TGGGTACTCTCTTACCTCCCTGTATATAATACTCAAACGACACAAGCTAGTTTCACCAGCATCACAGGAGTGGTGATCCATTTTATTTCATAAAGTATGAAACAGAAGAGTTTTGCGATAATTAAAAAAAAAAGTAGAAAGAAAATGGGATGAATAGCATACAAAAGAGATTGCTTACCTGGCATGGGATAAAAAGAACCCTTTGAGAATCACGTTGGTGTGAAGTAAGGTGTGTTTCGGCAAGACTTGCTGTTATAAGGTGAAAATTAGCAACATCATCAACTAAATTTGATTTCTCCAATCTTTGACCAATTCCATGAACCATGAACACAAGGTGTCGAACAGGAACCTAAATCAAATATGCAACGTCAATCTTATCACTTTCAAAAAAATAAAAAACTTAAATGAAAGGAAATCTTAATGCTGCAAACAGACGGTTTTTGGAAAACAAAAATTATGGACTCTGGAGAATCTCAAACATAAGTTTTGGACGAATTAGATTTTGGGTTTCTTTCAGTTACGCCAGTTATATATCAGAGCAACCACCCTTCACTTTCCTAGCAAAATTATTATCATACATTTGTCACCTTGAAACCGAGTATCGAAACCAAAAAGGTATAGATTAACCTTCAAAAAATCTAATAGGCAAAAGGCAGGATTTATCCTAAAAGCATGGGCCACAAGATCTTCTTGTTCGTGAACAGCCTTAAAGATTGACATTATAAAGAACTTGTTACCAACTAGTCACTAAGAGCTGGAAGAAGACATTGGGCATGGAAGAACACGTTGGTACAAGTTGTATGAAGGAAGGAATATATGAAAATAATAAGTACAAAACTAAAAACAACATTTTTATTTGATATGTTAAAATGCATACCTGCGAGCAATAATCATCCATTTCCTCCTCCTTCTGCTGGCGCAATTCATTCTATAATAGAAAATGATTGTGAGAAAGATGATAATTTATTCTTTTTTGTTTAATTTTAATGCTCAAACAAGACTTTCTTATGCTGAAAATAATTGAAATTCTCATGTTAGAAATCATAACAGAACCGGACAAATAAGACAACTCTGGGGGTGAAGCGGACATACAATTAAGAAACCAATGACAATTGTTTAAGTGCTAACACTAGAGATTTGAATGTAACCGCCCAACCAAACCAAACCCATCGAGACATGCAATGCCACATGAAACCTACTATCATTGTAGCAACTAATTGTTCCTGTTGTTTTTGTTGTCCTTTCCCTTTCCTCTAGTTATCATTATTACACCTAAAAGACTATGATAAAAATTAAAATCTAGGAGCAAAATACCACGCGTACCTTGCTTAAATGGTTTCAGTAAAGCTGAGAAGCAAGTTTCTTTTTCTGTTTAAAAGTTAAAAATTATCTGAAATTTACAAATACACCAGCTAGTGACTAGATGCAGACTTCCACCAAACTTCAGATCATCCTTTTCCATCTTCAAACATCCATTAGAATCCAAAGCATAGACACCATCAGATTAAGATGATATGACGGAAAAGTTCACATAGCAACAAGTATAATTTCACGAGTACCAAAAAGAAACAACAAATCCGGCATCAATGACAAACTTGCTCAAATAAATTCCAAAAATTTGACTCACCACAACCGAAAAAGGTAAAATGTTGAAAAAAAAAGGTATTGAAGGCAGTGTCAGAACTTATCCCATCAAAGAATTTATCAAATAGATACCTGTGTGGGTTTCGGAGAGTGCGATGTGGAATATCCACGCCTTAATTTCATGCCATTTCCACCTAACGTAATGACACTAGAAAAACCAGAAGCATCTATATTTAGCCAAGCCTCCCAAGTGTTATCTTCTCCTGTGAAAAGCGCATGCAGTCCCTAAAAGTACATCCCCAGGATGTGTTTAAGAATACAATAATAAAATTATAAAATGTCTTTTCCAAATAGCAATACACATACAGGTGTAGAGCCTTGCAATTCAACTCGAGCTGCAAAAAGTCCAGAGGGCTGAAACGTTCTCCGGTGCCAAACCTGGAGAGAAAAAGTCCAACTTCACCAACATGTGCTTATACCGTGTATACCAAAAGAGATTTAGAACATGAGTCCAAACAGAAGAGCACATGTACAAGAGGCAGACTGAAGCAGTCTTAAAAATCATTCCATAAATCTACATTTTGGTATGTTTTGAACATAAAAACAATCCTCTGAATCAACATAAAGTAAGGGGAGTTATCAAACTTTCTGACACAGAATCTGGATAAAGGTTACCAAATAGACAATGATCAGGATATGCACACTCCAACTAATCAGATACATGATTGTTTAAAGTCACCCATATTAATACTGAAGCTAACCTGATTACGATATGCAACCTCTAATTGTTCAGAAACATCTTCACGAAGTGGGAGCCAATCGGCCCCTTTACAAGCAAACCAGTGACCTCTTAACACACGCAGGTTTTCTCCATCCCAATAGACAGGGAAAGAATGCCGCTTCACTAAATCTACCTGCAGCAATTACATGACTATGTCAACTCAAATCAATCATGCCTTTATCCAGAAAATAGTTGGAGTCGGGTCATTTCACTTGATACACTTCAGACTAGTAACCAACGAAGTATCTTACGATGCTAACATCATGAGATTTTTACTGAAAATCATACAAAATTTTCCCTGCATCAACTCAAATGGATTCATCAACAACGACTACTTAAGAGAACATCAAGAAAGACTTGCCAACGCATGCAAAGGAGTTGATTGGTACTGGATAGCTACATTTTCAGGCCCACATGTATTTCTCTACTCTTTACACTGACAATGAAAACCTTGAAAAAAGAAGGCTTACCTCATAAAGCCCTCCCTTAACAGGGACACCAACTCTTTCTTCATCCACTTGATCTAACTCAACCGACCGACCCCTCTCTAAAGAAAATGAACTCTGCCGCGGAGCCACCTTCTTACTTGAACTAGGCCGCTCTTTCGGGCCTTCGCTACATTCTGCGTACTCCTTCCACCACCAAGAAAGCAACTCTTCCTCCCTCTGCATGCATGCAAATCCAACCCTCAAGTAATTAGACCAATTCAAACACAAATAACGCAACTTTATCACTTAACAAACCAAACCCACCTGCAAAAACGATGCCTCAATTGCTAGAGAGTCCCTCATACCGAACCGAAAATACTCCCCTTTCCCCACCATCTCACTCTTTGGGACTGAAGCAGCCATCTCTGCACAATCACAGAAGCAGAAAATTGCCAATTGTGAATTGAGAAGTAAAAACGCACACTAGAACTCAAAACTCCAATGCTCTTGAGATTCGAATTACCATTCTCCGCCAATGGGACTTTGCAAAAGTACCACCGGACATCGCCGCCGTCGGACGGGCTTCTAGTCTGAGCCAAATACTTCTTGTGTCCCTTACAATGTCCAATCTCATCCTCCAATCTCGCGATATTACTCGGCGTGTTCTTCAGCAAATCCGGAAACGTTTCTTCCGCCACACGCTTCGCCTCCGAATCCGCCATGCCCAACAACAAAGCTCTCCCCTCTTTTCAAATCCCCAACTCAAAGACTCCCCTTTTTCAATTCATCCCAAAACCCTAATCGCCGGCGCCGGAAACGCGATCAGAAACAGCGGAAGTGGGCCGGGATTTTGGAGTGGAATTGGGAATTAGAGAGTTTGTGGGAGCCGGAGGAGCGCGAGGAAGTGGAATGCAAAACCGAAATGGTTGCTCCAATTTCAAAGTGGGAACGTGGAAAAATCATGACCGAGAAGGTGCGGAGGGAAGGAGAGGGGGTTGTTGTTCGGAAGAAGAACGACCGTTCGGTCGGTGTTGAATGGCAGGTGGATTGCAACGACTGCACCACCGTTACAAATGGCGGATGCGTGCCTTTCTCTTTCTTTCCTGTATTTTTTTTCATATTTTTTACTCGATTTCTCCTTCGGCAAGAAAGCCCAGTGATGGGCCCTTGGCAAGTATCCAATTGGACTTATTGGCCCAGCATTTTTTATTTTTTCTTATTTATTTCTTCTCTCTCATGTCTACTTGCTAAAGTTAATTACGTCGCTTTAGTGAACGTTTCGTGATCACATGCTACATACTTGTATTCATCGAATTGAATTGCATTCACCATCAATTATGCTAACTTTTATAACTGTTGTCACTGTTATTCTAAATTCACAATTTGTCACTTTTTTTTGGTAAAGACCATGAAGTGTCGACACATCCGATAGATGAGACTAATCTTCGTTTGATGTTCGGCTTGCCTCTTGCCACAAAGTGCTTTCATTTGGTTTCGGCCCTTGCCAGAAAGGTGGCAATTTGCCACTCGCACCACACCTTGTGGTTACACACTCTTAAAAGTTAAGGAGAATGGACTTGGGACATGAAAAAATTGAGGCATGAAACAACCACTAAACTTCATACGATACTTTTGTGATTATATCTTCTTTCTCTTGAGCCATAGTAACCAAGTAAAACTAGGAATGAGAGTTTGAACTGGTTAAATAGCGATTTGAGTCATAATCGTTTGGTTCTTGATTTTTTCACTTACAACTCTAACCAATTTTAATACATTAATACTCTAACTGGTAACATGAGTCTCATTACCTTCTTATCGCCTCTCTTCCGATGTTTCCTCCAAATATAACAAAATTAATTAAATTGAACCGAAATTCCTCTATTTTCTAAATTATTGTAACAGTTTCGAATCTCCCCCTTCCCCTTAATAATAATAAATTAAAAAATAAATAAATTGAGCCGAAAACAAACCAATACACTTTGTTATGATGCAAAATACATACTACCATATCAATAAGGAATATAATTTTAATGACGAGCAAAGCGGACCGAACCAAACAGTAAAATAAAGAGGGCCTAACAGCCCATAGGTAAAGTATTGAAAAGGGCCCAAAAGGCCCAATACACCCTAACCCTAAAAATTGTTTTGGGTGGTTGAATATTAAAATATCTTAGGGCCCCACTCTATATAAGGCCTTAAAACCCTTTCATCACACTCAGAGACACAGTCGTATCCGTTCCGATCAAGTCCCTCCATAGCTCCCACCCACTCAAAACTCTAACCCTCACATTCATCCCAAACCCTAGATTCGCCAAAACCCAACCGGACTAATCAAGTGCCTTATGGCGGAGGAGGAGGTTGTGGTAGCCGCGGAGAGCCCTATGCCGTCGGATCACAAGCGCAAGCTCGAGGATTTGGAGCCTAAAGCAGCACCGGAAATAGTTGAGCTCGACTCCAACGGTCCCGATGACGCGAATGCAGAGCCTGATTGCACCGAAGAAGTCGATGTATCGCCGTCCGATAAATCAGAAGCGAAGAGGCCTCGCCTTGATGACAAGCCCGACGGAATAGGTAATTTTGCTGTTGATTTTGAATTCTAGGGTTTTTCTCATCTCTTTTGGGTGTGAATTTGTTGCGAGTTCTTCTAGTTTTTAGCTGACATTCGTTGTTTATTTATTTATTTAGTAATTAGGTCTCTTTTTTTTGCTATTTTTTAGATTATAATCTTTTTTGGGTAAAATATAGTCAGAATTTGTAAAATGAGGTAATTTAGGGCTTGTTTGGATGTACTTTTAAAATGGATGAATGCACTTTTAGAGAAAATTTTATGGATTCCAAATACTTTCTGCAAGAAGCACCAGTTAGAAAGTGCTTTTTTAGGATTTACTTGTATTTTTACTAAGGATTATTTCCAAAAACATTTTCACCAAAAGCGCTTTCAGTCATTTTAAAAATACGTCCAAACAAGGTCGTAATTGTTCTTGAGGATTGGTTTGCACCAAAAAAAAAAAGGATTTTTGTACCCTTTTTTTTAATGTGGCATCTTCCTTGATGATAACAGCTAGTGAGAATGGCCACCAAGAGGAGAAGGTAGATGAGCCCAAAAAGGAGAATGAGGATCAGCCAAGTGTAGATAGCGGTGACTTGGAGGTCCCCCAACCTGCGTCTGTGGAAGTTACCGAAGCAGTGACCGACGAGCAAAAGTCTGAAGTTAATGAACTACAGAATGGCATGAATAGTGAGCCGAGTGACACCCAAAATCATGCTGAGAATTCTGTGGCGGAAAAAGCTGAGGAACCCTCTCAAGGGGAGTCTCAACCACACTATGCAGAGGAACCTCAGCAAGGTGATGCTTACTCTGCGCAACAAGAACAGCCTTCTGTGAGTGAGACTGTGACGCACAAAATGGAGGTTCCTAATAATAAGGTCTGCTGCTTATATTCATATTATGTAACTGGGAGCTCTGAGCTCCAGTTGGTTCAAATTCCACCTATGACTTATTTGGAATTCATTTGTAAATATTAGTCGGAAAGAAAAAAGTGGCCTAAAGTATTGTATAAAAATGTGCAGGTTGGGGTTTTAATTGGCAAGTCGGGGGATACTATACGGTACTTGCAATACAATTCTGGAGCAAAGATTCAAATCACAAGGGATTCCGATGCAGATCCATATTCTGCAACCAGGCCAGTGGAGATAATAGGAACTTTGGATAATATAAGCAAAGCAGAGAAACTGATAAATGCTGTTATTGCCGAGGTTTTTTGCTCTCGCTGACTTTCTTGTTCTGCTTTCCAAGAATCTTGTTCGTCGTTTGTGTTTTCACAGTTGGAGTCTGGAGTTTTTTTTTTCAAGCTGAATAAGGTTTACGCTCTTTTTTTTTTCAGGCTGATGCAGGGGGTTCTCCTTCTTTGGTTGCTAGAGGCGTTGCTACTGCACTGGCTGTTGCAGCAGCAGAACAAATTCAGATTCAAGTTCCGAATGAGAAGGTGATTGCCTTTGCTTCCATGTTTACATGGCATGTGCCTTTGCATTCCATAATACTTTATAAAAGTCCGAACTTTTCTTCTGCCAGGTTGGTTTGATAATTGGCAGAGGTGGAGAGACCATTAAAGGTCTGCAGACCCGATCAGGGGCACGCATCCAGGTAGTTGATAATGTATGCCTTGCCTTTATGCATGGGAACAGAATGGTGCACTTTTTTCTGACTGCAATGTGTCCTTACTGGCCGGACCTTTTTCCTGTCATTTAGTTGATACCCCAACATCTTCCGGAGGGGGATGAATCTAAAGAAAGGACTGTCCGAGTTACTGGTGATAAGAAGCAGATTGAAGTTGCAAGAGAATTGATAAAGGAAGTTATGAATCAGGTTATTTTTTGACCTACTCCTTGAAATATTTTTCTTTTGGGTTTTTAATTTGTGATTGCTTATACAGAGGTTGTTACTTTTGTGGTTATTATATTTTGTGCGAGCGGTATTGTGGTTGCTACTGTGGTTTCTTCTTCATTGGACCATTGTCACTGTATGCTGGTTGAGTTGTTTTGTTTCTTATACCTATTTCTGATCTCATACACGTCATATTCTATGCTACAAATGATTGGATGCATTTCTTTTTTAATTCTATTTGACATGTGCCGGCTTAATGGTTGTCCCCACTTAGTTGATATGTCGTCAACCATATCCTATGCTCGTCAAGATTTAAGATAGACAAGTGTTATTATTTAGATGTCTTGAGTAAAAATGAACTGAGGTATTTGGATGTTTTGATTCTTGTCTATTGTTTTTTAAGACGCCGATAAACAAGTACAATTACATATTTGTATTGTATGTCCTATTCAATTGTCAAGTAGTTTTCTCAGAAGGCCGGTTAAATAGAAATTCTGCATATTTTGACATTGAGCAACATAATTTTATGGTTATGTTATGATTAGATGTCCAATGAAATATATTTGCATGCCTGTGACAACTTTTGGTCCATTTGAGGAAAGAATTATTACCATATTTTTCCATGGGAATGAGAGCAAGACCTTTTGCCCCCAAGAGTTTGCAATATTGATGAATGAACCATGCCAACGTCACTTAATTGCTGTTAGGAAGATCATGTATTCAATCAAAGATGCCGGTTGCCATGATTTATTTGTGTTGAAGGTGCCGATTTCGAATTGGTTGGCTTTAAAAATGCAGATTTGGCTATTGCATTTTCCATGGGGTCAGCATTGCCTAGACAACCACTATTCACTGTCATCCACCGAAGAAAGGTATCAGGCATTTAATTTCGCGATTGCAGGATGTTTATAGTTGGTAAGATTGCTTTGAGATCTGAAAGTTGAAAATCCTAATTCAGCAAGACTATATTGCATTAGCCTTAGTGCACATAAGCACCTCCAGTATTCTATGCATGACACGTCCCTGGAAAAAAATTGATATTCCTGGTGACTTGATGTTTAAAAAGAATCTGTATGAAACCCATAGTCTAAGAGTTAGCGTTTGACCTATGCTAATGCACTCAAACATGTGGTACATGTCTTCTGATATGCATCAATTAAGGTATAGGCATTTCTTAGGCTAGGGTCAATTCTATAATAAAACATTAGCATACGTCTATTACTTGTTACCTATTTGAATCGACTTGATCTGATGCTGAAGCATGTAGCACACATACGTCAAGTAGAATTAACATACTTCTCAAAGAGTTGAAATCAACATGATGTTTCTTGCTTGATACTTTGAATGCCTGATGTGCCTGTAATTCAATGTTGTGGCTTTGCTAGAAATTCATTCTTCATTGCATTTTAGATGATGCCTTAAAAATTGGAGTCATCAATATCAGCTAATTTTCTTTGCTGCATATTGACTGGGGAGAACAAAAAAAGAAAGGGCTGTCATTACTCTAAAGCAGTGAGAGAATTTTAGCAGCACTTGGTTATCTCTGCTATTTGAGTTTGGAAGGATTGTTATAGGGTTAACTCAAGCATAGAAAACCAGATTTGTGACTGTTGCATTAGATATCAACTTTGTGTTGTATCCGAGTATGGCGAGTAGTTTACTTTTTGACTGGGAAATGATACATGGATGACTTTGCCGAGGCACCTGGACATGAGTTTGATTCTTAGCATGTCAACATATATATTTTTTGTTTGTTTGATAAGACAGGGACTGTGATAGCCGGATAAATATAGAAATACGCTGAGTATACGTTTTGTTGAACATACTTTCTACGAGTTTGATGGCCTACTATTTATTTTAGCAACCCTTTAAAGTAGTTTGTATCCATTTAGGGAACAGTTCTCTGCTATGTGTAGTCTCAGACATTATTTTCTGGTATGGTTTGTTAATGGCAATTTCACATTGTATCTCTTGCTATAGTAGCCCTTGTTCCTTGTATCCATTCATTGCATTCAGTCAAGACAATGCACAGGAGCCCCTCAAGTTTAAAGAACGCGAGATGCGGCTAGAAGAGCAACTTCTGTATTTATTTTCTTAATTAATTGTAGATTTGTTGTTTATATGTACTAATTAATGCATTTTGTGATTTGATTTGAATAGACTGTGAGGCCATCAGCTCTCTCCAGTGGTTTTAATCATCAGGGTTATCGCCCCCATGGACCAGGTGGTTCCCAATGGGCTCCGCGAGGGCCTCATCTACCTCAGCCATCTTCGTATGATTATCCGCAACGAGGACCTTATCCATCCCATAATCCTCAGTACCCTCCTGCTTATGGGGGTTATCCTCAACATATGGGTCCAAGAAGTGGCTATGGTTCTGGTTGGGAGCAAAGGCCACCTTCTAGCATGCCACATGGTGGTGGTTATAATTACTATGGTGGACAAGTAGCTGATGCCCCAGTATCTGCCCAACATTCTGCTCCCGTTCCTTCTCATGCTCCTGGCCCATCTCCTAACCCTGCAATGGGTGCACCGTCCCAAGCAAATTACAATTATGGGCAGCCACATGGTCCAGATTATGGTCATCCGGCACCTTATTCCCAGGCTGCACCTCCTCAGCATAACTATGGGCATGGATACGAAGAACCAAAATATGATAATCATGCTCCAACGCAGCACCCTTATGCAGGATATGCACCTTCCCAGCAATATCCACAAACTGGAGCTCATCCAGGTTATGGTCCACAGCAGCATTACAGCAAGCCACCACCATACGGCATGCCATCACAAGCTCCAACTCCTCAGTCTTATGGCCCTCCTAGGGCTAATCAACCAGGAGATGCAGTTTATCAGGGTTCTGCACCACCTCACTCATATGGTCCGAATGTTCTAGCTCAACAGTCATATCCATATGCATCCAGTGGACCTGCTCAGCAGACGTATCCTGCATATGGTTCTGCACCAGCTGCTGATGGGTACAGTCAGCCACCACCCGCTTCTGGCTCAGGTTATCCACAACAAGGCGGGCAACCTGTTAGCTATGGCCAGCCTGGTGCACAGCAGGCAGCTGGCGGCTATGGACAGGCAGCTCCTACTGCAGGGTACGCACAATACCCATCTTCTCAACAAGGTTACGCTGAGCAGGCTGCTCCAAATGCAGCAGGTTACGGGTACCAGGGGTCTCAAGACCCTGGATATGGAGCTGCCCCTGCAGCATCATATGGTGCACCAGCGGCTGCGCAGCCAGGTTATACTCAATCGGCAGCTCAACAAAATTATGATCAGTCAATCCCCCAGTCCGCCGGTTATGGAGCTGCACCACCAGCTGCATCAGCTGGTTATGGGAAGACGGTGTCTCCTCAGCCTGGTTATCCCCAGTACGACTCGAGCCAAATGTATGCTGCTGCACCTCGTTGAATATTAGACTAATCTTGTTTCTTTTGTCATAATTTCATGTTGTTGTTTGATGCCAGACTCCTTTTCCCAGTCGTAGTTAGGCCTAATCAGACTGGATCGCCGAACTTTTGCGCTTACTGTGTTTCTATTGATGTAATGCAGCGCTAATGCTTTATTAAATTGTGAACCTTAACGAGGGAATGAGAACGAAAATCGTCCCTGTATGTGAATTTCTTTTTCATTATTTTTTCACGAGTCCTTTTGCTCGAAATGCTTTTATTGTAAGCATGTTGATATTTTATCTACAAATTCAAGTGCTTTTTGAAGAAGTACTTTGTAGGTGTTTCTTCAAAATGCATTTCTATACCATCAAAAGCGTTTTTAGTGGTCAGGAATCAGTTTGAGTCATTCCATAAACAATTTTAAACTGGCTGAAAGCCTTTGATAGCGCTTGGTCGAAGAAATAAAAAGTGCTTGTAAAAAAAGCACTCCTAAAGAATTAATTCCACTTTTTTTTTATGATTGACACAACATACATAATCATCATAAGTTTGAAGGGTAACGTACATGGTATTGGAACACCATCATTGAAGTTTTATTGTGAATGGTACGACGCCAGATGAAGAAAAAAATTTACACATATTTTGTTTCGTAGAAGAATATTCTGAGCCACAGTAACAAAATACTCGTGCCACGACAATTTTTACGTAACTTATGAGAAGGAAAAGAAAGTAAATAGGGTGGTGGTTAAAAAGGAAAAGAAAAGAAAATTAGAAAAAAGGCGTAGGTAGGGTTTAACGTTTATAGATTCGAGGTGGAGGTGGGGGTGGTGGTGGGCTGTGTGACTGTTGATTGTCTAACAAATGGCAGAGGCTTTCAGGCAGCTCCCTCTCTCTCTTTCTCTCTCTCTCTCTCATTGAGGAGAGAGTCATTTGCGTTGCAAGCAAATGCAAAGAGAAAAGACGGTGAAGGGAAAAGAGAGTATCTTGTAGGATACGCAACAGAAGTTACAGAGGTGGTGGCCTGAATCCTGTGTCGAGACTGACACCTCACCATCTTCTTCCAACTCATTTATTATCTTACTCCATGTCGTCACGTGCCAGTTGCCTCCATCCAATTCCAATTTCACATTCCTTCCCTCCTTCCCTCCCTCCCATATTCTGTTCCACAAAAAGAAAAGTTGTAGCAATACTCCTTTAATTTTTACTAAATTAAAATAATAGTTTTCAACTAAAAAGGTATAACCATTAATCCCTTAATTCGTCAAAACGTGCAGCTATGATCCTTTCTTCAATTTTGTTAAAACTTCTATCAAAATGAGTTACGTGTCACGCACAAGAGGTTGAATCGAGGGACAAATATGGAAAACCAAATAAGAAAAATTGTAGCAATAGTCCCTCAACTTTAACCCAATTGGATAAATAGTCCCTTAACTTTAACCCAATTGATGCAATGGTCCTTCAACTTTTATCCAATTGTAGCAATGAAGCTTCTAACATAACTCGTTTTAATGGAATTATGATAGAGTTAACGAAAATGACTATAGTTGCACTTTTTGATAAGTTAAGGGTTTAGAGTTGAGAAACTATTGCTACAATTTTCTCTTCACAAAACTACCTAAAACCCTAAAATTAAATTAAATTGTAAATAAAAATCCATGACTTTATCTTGTGAGGTACCATTATTTTTAAGGAAAACTAATAAAAATAACTTGAAAATGTTGAGTTTTAAAGTTAATGACAAAATAAAGGGTAAAATGAATAGTATTATAATTGTCTTTTTAGTGTAAAAATATGATTTTTCATTAAAGTGAACAGTACCGATAACTTTTCGTTAAAGTATCCTTATTTTTATTCATTTTGTATATCGCTTACCAAGAAAAGGAGGATATTCTTTCATATATTTTAGTATTTTTATTTCAGCTTACTTCTTTCAAATTTTTTGCTTTTATAGTCACAACAAAGTTATAACTTTTCTTGGAGTTTCAGGCTAAATTATGATTTAGAGAAATACTAAATAAACTCGCTTAAAAGTAGAATTTTCTACCATCTCATAATTTTTATACAATATTATATTTTATAATGTTGACACGCGAGTTAATGCTAAACTGTGAGGTGCACTTTGAGAGTCTCCTTAGCATTTCTCTATGATTTAATAAAAGGAAAACTAATGAAAAGAGTTTCAAATCTTTACATTTTAATAAAAAACCACCCACAAACTTTATTTAATAATAAGGACAAAAGACTAAAAAAATAAAAAAACTAACACATCCAACTTGCGCTCCCCCCCCCCCCCAAAAAAAAACTTCAAACACTCCATCTTTTTCCTTAATAGATTTTTTTTATTTTTTTTTCTACCAAGATAGTGAGAATTTTTTAGTGTGATCCCTAAAGGAACATTGGCTGCCATGCCCATTGATTGGATCACAAGCACTTTTGCTGGAAGGGGTTGTGGGCGAAGGTTTTTTGCAAATGCAGTTTGCAACAAGGCTGCTGGCGGGCACTTGAGTTTCATTCCTGGAGGGGGCTACAAAACCTTTGCGACTAGTAGAATGACACTGCTAACAGCACCGTATGACTTTGCTATCGGACAACTTCCAGATTGCAGCCACTCATTACCCAATGCCTTGTGATTAGAATCTTATTTAGAGGAATTAGATTTCCTTTGCTGTTTCTTCCATGCATCGAAACTGAATGGCCATCCAGGACCAAAGATTGAGAGACAAATTGTAGCTGCCTTTGTAGCTAATGGATTAAACATGGGTGGTAGGGCCGAAGGTTGAGGCTCAACTATGTCAAAAGAATGCGAAATCCAAAATTGTGCACTTGGTTCTTTAAGCACACTGTTAGAGACATATTTACGGTAACCCCATATATAGTTTAGATTACTTGCACCTAAAGTTTCTATATTGTAATATTTTAGTTTCCTACCACTTATTGGAAAACTCAAAAACTCTTCTTCGGTGTTGAGCAATCTGATTCAAAGAGGGAGAAGAATGTAGGGGAGAAGAATTTATGTGCAGAAAGAGAGGACCATTCAGAGTTACATTTTAGTAAATTTTCATAAACAATATCGTAAGTTTCATAAATGGTGTCGTAAGTTTTCATAAACAGTGTAGTAAGGTTTCATAAACAGTGTAATAAATTTCATAAACAGTGTATCGTGAGTCTTCGCGTCAGATTTTTTGTCATTTTTATTAAAATTATGTCTTTTTCATTAAAATTTAAGTTCTTTTGTCATTTTTATTAAAATTTAAGGGGTTTTCTTTAAAATTTAAGTCTTTTTAATTAAATAAAGTTATAACATGATTTTTTATTAAAATAAACTTAGTCCAAGCCCTTTTCATGAAAGTTCCCTTTAATAAAATGATATAGTTATATTAAAGGAATGAAGGAATAAATTGGTTGCTAATTTGTCATACTTGATATTCGAACATAAGATTGCTTACTTATAAGACAATAGAAATACTATTAGACCGAGATACTAAGTGACTTACTAAATTATAGCTTAAGTTCGTGTGGTTTGAGGGAAGTTCTCAAGTGATGGTTTCGTTGTATCCCTATTTCTAATTTTATATTATTTTTCTTCTTATGATAGGAAGATTTTATGGTGTTCAAAAATGATGTTCCAAAGTATTTTATACTCTTAAGGTTTGTAACCGCTAAATTGTGCGTATTGTATCTTCAATCAAGAATTCAATAACTACAAATCTTAAAATATTCGATACCTTGGAGCACTGTAATAAAATTGCCTTATGCATTCATAAGATAATGTTAATAACAAAAATGATGAAGTCAGTAGGTATTAGTTATTAGAGTGCATTTTTTGTCACCATTATTTAATGTAGTGTATGTTCATCATCCTATTTATCATCATTAAATAAGTTTAAATTTTGAGATTTGTGTTTATCCACGATACGAATCTCGAAATTCAAACTCATATAACGATGATTAATATAATGGTGAGCAAAAATGCTCGCTTAGTTATTACATCATTCGATAATGCCTTAAATTCCAAGAAACAGGGTTAGGAAAAACATGGTTGAATTTAAAATATATTTTCTTCTGAAATTCAGAACTAAAAAATGTCAGCTATGCAAAAAGGGCAAAAATAAACAAATGTTACTGCTGCACAGACCACATTCATACCAAAAATACCAAAATACAAGAAAAGTTAAAAAAAAAAAACATTAATAATGGAAAAGTTCATGAAAAAATTTAAGGATTGAAGAGCAAATTCCCACACTTGCATTTCCAGCTCATTGGCTTATAATTTGTAATGTCATCTCCTCTGGAGTAGGCTACGTTCTTTGGGGCAGTTCTGGAAAAAGAAACAGAGGAGCTGCTTCCATGGCTTCTGATTTTATCAACTTGAGGAGTAACTGGAACCTGAACCGCCACGCAACGCCCGCAAACGCTGCACCTCCGCTCGCAGCTCGGCCGCACTGACCCTATTTGACGAGCGTTGACCACCACCCCTTCTTTATTTTCCTGAAGAACTCTTGCCCGAGCCAACTCACTTAGCTTGCTGGAAATTGGTCTACCACCTGAGAAACAAAAAGTGAAAAACCCAAAAATTAATTTACAAATTAAACAAAACCAATGTGAGTTGCTTCTTGTTTCGAAGAAATTGGTTTTTTCCTTAATTTTTTTTCCCATAAATTTGAATAAAGGGATAGGATTTACTGACCTTCAGCCATGAAAATCAGATGGGTCGAGCTCGAAACCAGGAACAGGAGGATGGAAATGCAAATATTTCTATTTCTCTGGCAAAAGATGCAATTTTGAGAGCTGCCCATTTCTCAGAAGACGATGGTAATTATGATTATATGAACAAGCTTGACAGAAACAAGATTAGTTTATTTTTGCAGGGTGTGAAAGTTTCAGAATGTGAAAAGTAAAAAACCTTGATGGGAGGAGACAAGTGGGATACAATTAAAATATGAAAAAGCAGAGAGAGAGAGAGAGAGAGAGAGAGAGAGAGAGAGAGAGAGAGAGAAGTTTCAGAAATTGAATGCCAGCTCCATCGGTCAGAACGATGACTGAAGATATATCTATACATGTATGTATATATATGTATATATGTATACGGTGGGAACGTGGAGGGCAGAGGAGGACAACGGTGAGATCAAAGCGAGAAGGGAAGGACCTCAGCCGCGACCTCGAGTGATGGGCCTCCGAAAGACCAGGTATTCGTACAATTTATGAATTATGATTCGAAAGCAAAACAGAAACTTTATGAGCTTTGCATGCAGAAAAGAAAAAAAGAGGACCACGGAGTGGGAGGCCCTGTGTTCTGTACAAATAGCAACAAGATAGAGCCACATGAAAGATACTCTGTGTATGTGTAATTTATTCGAGTTTTCATTTTCTTCTCTGTAAGTCTTGTTTTTGCAGTTTCATCCTTGTAGTTTTGTTATGTTGGCACTTCAACTAATGTGATCGTTTAATCCAGTTTAGTGCACATCTTGTCTTGTCGTAATCTAATTTGATTATAAAAAAAAAACGTGAACTAAATTGAAACCAAACTAATCCGAACCTAAACTATTCTACTTTGGTTCGACTGGTTCCATTCAGTTTTGGATCTTAGCCATTTTAAAGCAATAATTAAGAATCACACTGGTCCAAACTGTTTCAATTCAACTTTTGAATCAAAGTTGACTCTTTCAAACACGGGTTTATTCTTTCCAATTTATCATTGCAAAGGTCTTTTGCCCACCCCTAAAAAACTCAATTTGGAATGAACCTTGCCTCGTTTGACTAACATCTATAGCGAATGATTTTATAAGGTTGAAAATGCAAGAAAAGAAACTAACAAAGACGAAATCGAAAATCTAAGTAACATACGAGGACTACTAGTGCAATATAGCACATTTTGTTTGTTTGTTTTAGGGATTGGGAGGATCTGGGGTGCTCCATTTTAACGTGCAAGAGTGCTTTGTTTGTTTCTTATTTCTTCAAAACAGTACATGCATGGACGTCGGATTCCATGGAAATCCCCAGTAAGATAATATTCATGGATATCCCCAGAAAGATACTGTTCATGGATATCCCCAGAAAGCTACTATTCATGGGTGTGCATAGAGGAAGATGGATTTTGGGGACACCCAAAAAATTGCTTAGGCAAGTTTATTTCCATCAAATTCTGACAACACTCTTCCTTGATCGAATCTATGCCGTTGGATTGGGATTCGATTTGTACCTCGTGCGCAATGAGATTAGTTAGTTATTCATAAGTTCCCAAGCAGCCGTGTATGGAAAAGAAGCCTGCGTCGTCAAATCAGACGGTTGCTTGCTTTTAAGCCAAAAATCTGAGGGACACGTGCTGGAGTTGGAAAACACTGATCCGGATCGGACCCTTAAATTTTGACAAGAACTGGGGGATCCGTAAAAGTAAAACACCTTCAAAAGCTGTCATCTTTCGTGACTATCAATCAATGCATATTTTGCATTTCCACGTTTTCACCACATATGATTATGATGCATGTATTCAACTCATATGATTATGATGGGGTTCATAGTAAGATTAGACCGGGTCTGGTTTGATTCAATTTTACTATAGTCGTAGCCAAATCAGTTAACCGCTAAGTGATGTGTTTTGGTTCATCCGGAGCAATTAGTAGGAGAAAATCAAGCTAAGTAGTTTGGTTTGAGTGGTTTGATGGTTTCGAGTGTTGAGCTCAATTACAATATAGCGCGTTTAAGTGCTTAATTAAATAGGATACTTTATATGTTATACAACAACGATTTGAGAAATATGTTTTTCGCACACTGATTATTTCACTTCATGCACACTTCTATCTTTTTTTACCTACTAAATTTGAACAAATGAAAGGATAATTAAGGTTCAAAAATAATAGAAGTGTGCCGAAGGTGAAAAATGTGTAGTATTAATAAAGATATTGTTTAACCGTGCACGGTATTGTTTTTCAAAGCATAACTTGCTTGCACGCGTGCCTGGTTTCACAACCCATTATTTTAAGATTCTCGATCTGTCCATTAAGAGCAATGGGGCGACTAAATTTATAAACAAAATTTTGTAAACTAATGACAAGGAAGTTAATAACCGGATTATTACTTAAGCGTTGATAAACGTGTTCATATTTTTATTGGTGACTCATCATTTGGTTTGCAAATTTTGTTTACAAAATTTAGTCTCCATAGCATTACCCATTCATTAATATAATTTGACACATTAAACAGTGACTGTGTACAAATTTATTTAATATGAGTCCTCCTTGTTTCAACTCTTTTTTAATTCAATTTCTCCTTAATCTAATTCCTCTTATTTTGATTACTGTTACATAAACAAGCCATTAATATGTATATCCAAAACAATGAGGCCTCACCTACAGTTTGTGTTGGTCCTCAGTTCAGAAAATTAATATGTTAGAGCCCTTTCATACAGAACCGTGACAGACTGAGAGAGTCATTCCGTATCTCTCCAAAACAATAACATGCAAGAATACATTGAATAGTAACAAACTTTTAGCCACAGGTCAAGTCTAAAAGAAATTGTGGCAAATGCTCAAAAAGTTACGGCCCAGTGAAAATTGGCAGCTTCCACAATCCAAAAGCATTTGAGAATTGAGTCTTTGCGTGTTGAGTGGGTGACCATATTGATTCACTTCTCCTGATAGCATAATTTGTATATCATAAGTACGACGCCACAGATAATAACAGTGATCCCGATTTGTGTAAGTTATTTTTCGTTCTCTGTATGCACAGAAACTCTTACTCTCCTCTCATCTCATGCATACTTCGAATTTATTATGAAAATATGTTACAGGCTAGCTAGTTAGTTTAAAACTCCAAACAAATCTCAGATCTCTGAATTGCATCTAACATAGACGTTGATCGCATGCATTACGTTAACTTTCCAATGACATTACAAGAATTTTAATCTTATACCTTCCGTTGATCACAGTAGAACTATTAATCACAGCAAGTTGGAAAGGGGTGTTTAATCCGTTGCAGTCCAAAAGCAAAATTACTATTATTCTACTTAATTCTCTTCAACTATTTATCTTAGCGAAAAACGCTTCAAAGCTCAAACTATAAAAAATCTAGTTAAATATCTGGTGCAATAATAGTCAACTGCCTTACCATTTGAGTTTGAAATAATTTTGTTTACGTTCCTCCAAAACTGTTATTTTTACTATAAAAAAGGAGTACATTTTCCTTTTCTTTTCGGTTACAAGGAATTATTCATGAAACATATATGATAAAAGAAACATGTTATATGTAATCATCATCAACACTTTATAATTCCAAATCCATACATTTGAAGGAACGTAACACAGACTGAAGGAATGTTATTAACAAGTGAAAAGAAAGTGCCAACTACAATCCACCAGACTTGTTGGTTTGCTTGTTCCTGCTACTTGGTAAGAACAAGCATTGGATTGATCAAGTAACACAAGGCTCTCTACAAAAGAATCCATGGACTCGTAATTCCGTCCCTCTCCAACTCCAGAATACCTAACTTGTTTGGTCTTAAAATCCACCATTACAAGTCTGCTATCTTCTTGTGCTTTTGAACACTTGTTCGCCGTTACTTATAAAACCAAGTTGCTTTTCCACAGTCTGCCATGTTGGTTTTATAAGTAACGGCGAACAAGTGTTCAAAAGCATAGTTTAAAACCAAGACTGGAAATCCTACATGTTGCATGCGTGCACCGCACGTAGGAAACAAACTTATAGAGTTGACTAGGAGAATCCTAAACCAAAACAATGTATTTCTAATTTAAACTGTAGGATTTCGGATTTCCTACGTGCGGTGCACGCATGCAACAAACATATGGAAACGAAACTACTAGACTTAATTTGGAGAACCCTAGCAGGAAGAACAAAAAACTGATTCTGGCTACTTTTACTGATGTAAAAAATGACCAACTAAATCTCATCTCTCTCTCAATTACAACATACTTAAGTGTGTACGTACGTATGAACAGCTTCGTACTCATTTCTCATCAACTAAACACTAACCAATGACATCATAGCACTTAATTTGTTCTCATTTCTGAAAAATTAGAAGCACTTGAGTTCTATGAATGATGTTAATACAAGAAGATAGCTCGTAATGTCACATCCACATCGATCTTACTACCTGCCTCAGGAAGTTCACATTGCCTCTCTCCCTTTCCGGCCGCCTTTATGCATACTCCGTTGATGTCCATTTCAGATCCCGAGGCTTCAATTCCAAGTCTGAGATAAGATACCTATGGCTTGAAATCTTCACAACACACGCTCAAAGCACGGCCCAGAATCTTGATCCTTCGCTTCTCTCTTCCGAAGCCAATGTTGCCATAGGGCATGCAATTCTGCTGGCTTTGAGTTTGAGTTGATAACAAATTGGCACATTTCACACAAGAAAATTGTCGACCATGTGTTGGATCACATCAGCCCCATCAGAGTATAGACAATCGTTTTGCACCTGTCCCACAAAAAGACAATAAAAACCTTAATGCATTCACATCGAGCTGCTTCTTTAATTACATAGCTTTGAGGATGGAACAGCATGCATTGTGAAACGAATAAGAAAAAGGACAAGGGTTAATTTCTGTAGGCATTTGATTAATCTTTCCAACAACATTACAAGAATTTTTTTATTAAACACGACGAATTTCAAGGAAAAACATCGACTTGCCTGAATGGTACCATGCGCAAGGTATCTTTGTTTACTTCCTCTGAAGTTCACATCCACCCGTTCCCAGCTTATTTTGGTCAAGTTTCTGATCATTTCCTCTGTAATCGTGTCGTGAAGTTAGTGAATAAAATGCCAAGGAGCTAAGAATTACGAGCTCATAATATGGCAATCATGGGGTCGAATCATAAAAATGAGTTATCAGATGAATGTGACAACTACAGAGAGAAAATACCAACTAGTTCTGTTCAAAACGAAACCAGCATATTGGATGCCTCCCACAACAGAAACTTTTTCTCCCTCCAACTTTATAATCACTACTATTATCGTCAATTTATCATAGAACTACTAATCGGCTCACAAATATTAAAATTCAGAATTCCCAACGGTTTTCTTTCAATCTGTCTACAACTAGTGCATGTTCGATTCCTATATAATCCGTTGGGTCATGGAACTCTGAGAGTAAAAATTCCTTCATGCTAAAGCTGGAATAAGCTTCAGAGAGCAATGAACCACTGGGAATAAGTTTTTAGTTAATTAAGATACACAACTAGCAAACCTTCGAAGTCAATTTTCTTGCGCCCACTGGGTATGGCTTCCAACGGTAATTCTTCTCGGGAACTTGAACTTTGAATTGTCTCCACATTTATAATATGTGGATAGTTTTCTTCTCTAGATAAATGTTTAAGCTGATAGAAAAGTTCATGTTAAGATTAACTCCAGACACAAACAAAGCACCCATGAGTAGCTTCAGAAATACCTTTGGCAGCTCGTTCTTACGCCGTAGAGATGATGTACTCCATCCGACAAGGGCTATAACAGTTGTTAAGTGCTTCGCATGAAAGATGGACATAGTAATAAACATATTTGTAAGTGTCAAATTCAAAGTTCGACTAACTCAAACTTTTACTTACATTCGAAGACCAGAACACCAAATTATCTTATCCTACATGTCTGCTTCAACAATGAAGATTAATAAATAATAAAAGTACAAAAGTAACACAAACACACAAATATGAAAAGGATACAGTCAAAACGAACATTTGCATAGGTAACACAGCGCTTGAAAGACTGCAGTGCAGATCTGCAGAGACAAGAAGAGATATGATGGCAAGTTCTAGAATCATCAACGACAATAGCCGACCATATACTACACAAAAGAAGAAGAAGATGTAATTCTCTGTAAGGACTCACATGAATTTAAGATCTTCAGAATCATTGACCATCTGAAGAAGAAGGGGAGGTTTTCCATCCTTCTTATCAGTTAAAAACAGATGTTTTCCACTTCTACCTAGACACCATGAAGCACGAGCTGCTACTTTTTCAAGGGGTTTTACGCCACAAAACAGTGGAACCTGAAACATCAAACCAACACATAATCAAGAAGTATAGAAAATGGAACCTAACTTGTACGCAGATCAAGCAAACATTCGCTTGTACTAATTCTCTCCTCATAAAATCTAATTAAAAAGCTTCAAACTTTCATGTATTGATTAGAATATGACAATTCAATCAATTACACCCTCCCGAAAGTCTTGGTTGTTTAGAAAAAATGACACAATTTTCGCAGGGGTGGGAGTTGGGCGGGGGAACGCCAATCGTTATTCATTCTCTTATGTTAGTACTTGTGTGAATAAATGCCGGATTCTTTATTCAACTAGAACAAACTCTCATGATTTTACATTGAAATGGCACCAAAAAAGTAATACTTTAATGTCTAAACGGATGTTCTAATAAGCATACGATTATGAGTTCATAACGAACTTGATTCACCTGATTATGCCCTCTGGAACCAAGGTGCGGAGTGGCAGACGTTATAAAATTCACAGGCTCCAGTCCAGCAATTTTGCCTTTGACTTTGTGTTCCAGCAACGGATTCTCAACTCCATTTCTCCTATATTCTCCATTTTCTTGAGACAGTTCTTCAGTGATGTCTCGTTCATAAAGCCTTCCAATGGCATACCTTGCAATAAGCCCGCCTAACGAATGACCAACAAACGAGATCTTCTGAACACTAGGGTGACGTTTTATCACAGAAATAACCTGAAAATCAAAACGATTATGATATCAATCAACTCAAACAACGCTTTCATATACGAACCCAGCCAACGAATACGAAATCAAAACCCATGATTCTAATTTAAATGGAAAATGATAAACAAGTAGGTTCCAACTGAACAAATCCAAAAAAAGAAATAACCCACCTCTTCTGCTAATCTCTCTCCCATTACATCAACACCATCAAAGGTCAACATTGAGTGATTGCATTCACTACCTGCATTGCAAATTCATTTCATTACTTGGAAATTTAATTGGTGCACTGCCCTCTAATTTCATGAGTTACCAAGTGGACTACTTTGAAAATAATTGCTAAAGCAAGCAACTTTTACAAGAAAAGGACTCACAGTGAGCAATAACATCTTCTGGGTATCTCTTCAGAAACTGCTTTGCTGCATATTTCCAATTCTCAGCACTGCACCAAAAATGCACAAAATCAGCTCAACCCTCAACTAACCCACATTCATTTTTTTTATCTTTCGATAAGCGATATTCTGAACTATTCTAATACACAAGAACGGAGATGAGAACTCGAGTGCAAGGCCTCGGGCCCACCGCCCTCGCCAACTGGCCTAACCCACATTCAAATTAACCAAACAGAGACTTAAAAAATAGAGTACAATTTCCACTGACCTGCCTATGAGACCATTCACCAAAATAATCAAATGGGTCGGGCTCCTTTTTCCACCCGTTTCATCCTCCACCTCCATATCGAAACCCCCCTTGAAACCCCCCTTCGTATCCGTTTCGGGTTTCGAGCTGAAGCACCGAAGCTTCGGCATGTGAAAAAACGTTTCTTTTTTCCCGCTTGTCGTCATCGTCCCCTTGCTTTTGCTCCTTTTCTTTTTCCTCGCGTTTTTCTTGCCGCCTCTGTGTTTGATCACGCTTGACGGCTCCTCTTTCAGTACGACCCCATCGCCCCCGATCTCCACCTCCATTGCCGCCATGCTCTGCAAATCCGCAGAATCTTCGGTCAATGAGAGGTTTGAACATTCAGCAGTTGCATACGCTGGGGAATCGCAATATGAAATGTGGGTTTTTGCGATCTTTCGCTATCGATTCGTGACTTTGACTTCGGGTAGATGGTCCGCACCGCAAACTGGAGCTGCCATTGCTGACGGGGTTGGTGGTTAACGAGAAGCTTCGGCTCTTGTGGGAAGCTAGCGACTTTGACAGTTTGACAGTGAATTCTCCTGCACGTGTTATATTTTTTGAAAAAATTACCATATTTATTTTGTATTATTTTATCTATTTTTGTTTTGGTTTTAGAGTTATTTTTAGATAAATATCTTTAATATTATTAATTTTTACTGATAAACAAATATTTTAACACATTTTAATAAAAATTTACTAAAGTGACTAATATTGCAAACTTTGTAAACACAGTAATTAAATTGATTAAATTAAAAAATAAATTATTATTAGCATTTCAAAAATCTCATTTTGCAATATAAATCTTTTATAATTAGAAAAAAAAAAACATTTATGAGAAGTGTAAAATGAGATTTTTGAAGTGCTACCAATTGTCATAAAAAATTTTAAGTATAAACACTGTGACCAAAAAGTTTTAACCCTTCGCTTTCTTGCATCTTAATGGCCAATTGCCATGATTCTTTAGAAAGATTTTAGATTAATTATGCAATAAAAACTGAATAAAAACAATTTTTTTGCTCGCTTAACGATAGGACATAAATCATGGTGCTTTGGTTTGTACCTTCGAGAGAGAGAGACTCTGTTTATGTATAATTTTAATAACGTTACCAATTCTTTTAAATGTTTGTCATGTGACGTCACCGATTACATGAGAGTATCTCTTATTTAAAATTAATTTTTGTATAAATTCGTCGGATGTGCCATTTTTCCACGAGTGAGAGTGATGGTATATGTATTGTCTCGATTTTATGTGTGTAGCCGTACAGATACGTTGTTTGTCCGTTATATTTCATTTTGATTAATTAGATGAAAAATAAAATGGGATTGATGGTTTTGACTTGAAATTGGTATTATAAATAATACCAACCATTTTCCTTAATTAGGGCCACGGGTCTCACAAGTTCCCGGGCTTTCTTGTCGTCCTTGATCCAAAAGCCCAGCAAGCGAGGAAGCCCAAAGAAACAAACAGGTGAAAAAAACAGAGTTCACCCAAACGTTTAAAGAGATGAAGAATCGGTGGTGGAGGTTGGGGAATTTGAAACCTGTCGTCGAAACAAAACTCCATGAAGATTTTTTGTATGGACTCAATTGCTCCGCTGCCTCTTTCGGTGCTGAAGGACAATGGGTTTTGGTTTTAGGCTCAACGTCCTCAAGTCTGGCTTTCCACTTCATCACTCTCACTGTCAAGCTGCTGCTTCTCCTTCCAAGCTCTCTTTTACTTCTGGTGAGTTTGTTTTGATTGGCTTTTTTCCCCAGCTGATTTCCTGCTTCTGCTTCGGAGAAAAGAATGTTTCTTTTGCTTTTGACTTTCATCTTTGGGTTGGGTTTTTGTTTGAACTACTATCCTGCATTGCATAATTGCATATGCTTTTTGTAATCTGATACACGTTGAAGTATGTTGTTAAGTAAAACCCTGAAAGAATCATGCTGCCAAAGCGAATTTTTGAGATGATCAAAATGCATGTTTAAGAATTGGGACTTGAAGTTTTCAATCAAGGGCAGACGGGGTTAGGCTAGTTGGCTAGGGTAGTGTGCCCGTTCCGTTGCACCCAAGTTCAAATCCTCCCCATAAAGTAGAGTAGTTTAGAATATCGTATTGTCAACAAAAAATTAAAATTTAAAAAATTCAATCTTTGCGATGTTGAAGTTCCATCTGCCATAAGTAATGCACATTGATATTTGCTGTCAATTTTTTTTATATTTATGATATTCGATATAAAATGATGATACAGTTAGAGGCAGGGAGGGCTCTTTCAACTCGGCAAGGCTGTCATTCCTGTCCATTATCTCTGAGGAAGGCGAGATTTCCGGTAAAGATACTCTGAAAGTGTGCTCTTTTTCATCTGCTTCGCCGCAGATCTTAGAGGATGGCGTCTCAGAAATGGAACAGGTGAATGTTTGTCTTTATTGAATTGTTGCTTAAAAGCTTCACAATTTTTATTCACACAACGTTTTCTTTGTTTCAGTAGATGAAAATCTTATCATGACTTTTTGCCTCTCAGACAAGCTTTAGGAGTAGTTCGTCCAACACGACTGGGAATAACCAGATGCCTGTTGCAGACGGAAACTTTAGATCCGTTAACACCTTAGAATCTTGCAGTGCAGCTCATTTTAGTTTGTTACTGAAAAATCTCGATGCTCTGGAGGAGACTTTTGCTAATTCAGATGTGTTAAAGTTGGAAAAAGAGATACTTCTGCAATTAGGAAGGCTTGGAGCTCTACAGTTATTCGATGCCTGTTTGTCGAGAACTCTTACATCCTCAAGCTTTTTTTATTTGTCTGACATACCTACTGTACCGATTGAAGAGCATAAGATAGATAAGAAGGTAGATAACAACAGAGGTAAGGTTATTGTACGTTCTGGGAAAAAGGAAGAAAAAAGATCAAGAAAAAGAGCATTAGATAATGCCAGAGTTTCTTCTGACTCATTGCCTCCTAAATCAACTTTGGAAGGTTTCAATCATCCTATTGTTTCATCGGCGAAAAGAGCATCAAAGTATCGAAAGAGTAGACTTAAAATTGCTAAAAATGAGGCAGAAATGTCAACCGGGGTTAAGGTTGGACTTGTCTTCAAATATATAGATTAAAACAAAACTTTGCTTCCTCTCCTTGAAGGATGTATTTACCAGCTATACTTTTGTTTCATAACAGGTGATTGCCAATTTGGAGAGAATTAAAGCAACTTTGGAAAAGGAAACTGGCACCGTAGCTACCTTAAGTTGTTGGGCGGAAGCAGCGGGAGTTCACGAGAAGGTGCTGTTACAGAAATTGCATTTTGGTTGGTACTGCCAGGATGAGCTTATAAGGAGCACTCGTTCCTTAGTTCTATACCTTGCTAGAAGCTATAGAGGGCTAGGAGTAGCCATGGATGATTTACTGCAGGTTTGTGAAATCTAAGTAAACTTTTTGTGATATAATTTACATGTGATTATGTTCGAGACAGTTCGTTGTTGATCACTGAAAACCACTTTTCATCAGATGTCAAAACTCAGCGCATAAATTCAAATTTTTTTTCTTGACACTCTTACTACTACGCTTATTTACTCTCAATTTATTAGTCTATCTCTTGAGTTACCCCTATTTCACAGGCTGGAAACCAGGGTCTCCTGCAAGGTGCAGAAAGGTATGATCACTCGAGGGGTTACCGATTCTCAACCTATGTCCGATACTGGATAAAGAAATCAATGTCAAGATTGGTGGCACGGCATGCTAGGGAAATCCAAATTCCTGTATGTTCCTCCCTTCTTTGAAAAACTCAATACAATATCGTCTCGGTGAGTGATGGTGTTTACTCCTCGAGTTGTTTTTGTTTTAGTTCACGCTAAGCAAGGCAATAAATCAGATAACGAAAGCTCGCAAAGCCACTTACAACAGACACATGAGATACCCAGATGATGACGAAATTGCAAAGATTACAGGTCTTTCGTTGGTGAGAATCAGATCAGCTAGCACATGTCTGAGAGTTGTGGGTTCGGTAGATGACAAGATGTGGGACAACTCTCCTGGGACTTTTATGGTAATGATCCAACTAATCTTCTCCATCTCTCTCTTTCATTCCCATTTTAAACTCATATTTCTTTCTTTCTAAGGCTTAGTTGGGCGAATAGTAACTGAAAGAGCGAAATGAAGATCATTGTCGTTAGACTCATGTTGTAGTTTGTACACTTCAGTTATCTTATTCTTTACATGTCAGCGACCGAAGCTTCTATAGTTTGGGAAGCTAACCTTGTAAAATATGCAAAATCCTGTAGACCTGCAATAAATTGTTGAAAGCAGTGGGGTTATTTTGTAACTATAAAACCTGTTCTGTGTTAATGATTCAGGAATGTACGCCGGACGCATCAATAAAGAGCCCTGAAGAAACTGTCACAAGACAGCACATGAAAAAAGACATCCATGATCTGCTGAAATGCTTGAACTCGAAGGAGAGGCAAGTGTTGGTGCTGCGATATGGGTTAAACAACTACGACCCCAATTCACTTGAGGAGATTGGAAAGCTTTTCGATGTGAGCAAGGAATGGATACGGAAGATAGAAAAGAAAGCTCTCACGAAGCTAAGGGACGATGAAACACACAGAAGTTTAAGCCATTACTTGAAAAACTAGTAGATTCAGAGTAATACGAAAAAGAGCAAGTCATTCTGAGCTTCTCTATCAGAAGTAGTAGGCCGGGAGAATTAGTCATCATACACTGACAACCATCGCTTCTTTCTGATAAAGATTAAAGGATACGCAGAATCATGGGTGACCTTCGGTTTGTTCCCCGCCAAAATTTCAGCTCAACTCTACCGTGGGAATTTTTTGGTTCTTTCATGTAAGGATCATAATGTTGTATTGTATGCTTATCATTCTTTCATTTTCGTTGGTGCGATTGTATAGTTTAGAGGTGGGAGGATGCTGCTTCTTGCATATTTGTCTCCTGTACATATAAATGGTATGAACTACTGTTTATACACCAGTCATGCGGTTAAACTCCGTGAATCAGGCTTGCTTGCTGAATGCTAAATTGACATTTGTGTGCATCTTCTCCCTCCAGATCTTTTGTGTTCTGTCTCACCCTCCACGCAATGAGGCTTACGTAGCCATTTGAAGGCCGTGATTACAAAGTAGCTTGATTTCTTGGATAAGGATGTTGTGTGCCATAGAAACCAGAAAGCTTGGACTTGTTCACCTCATACCTTCAACTCCCATGACCGGTTTTCTGTCACTTAAACATGAAAACAGTGCTTAAACGCGCAGAAAATCAGGTTTTCAAATAACTTAAATGCGTATGACAGAATTTAACGGGCTGCCCATTGTACATTGTTGTATAATAGTATGACTCATTAAGATATTTTTCTTGCAAAACCCATCCTTAGAGATGTCACTTTTCCCTCTTTGATATTTTCTCTACACCACTCGCTTTAGGAGATGCCACTCTTCTCTTTTTTTTTAATATATCTTTTGGATGAGGATTCTCTCTCCTCACTGCCATCACTAACTCTATCACTCGCTTCTCATAAAAAAAAACTACTAGGATGCAGATATAACACAAAAATGTTTAGTTGTAGAGTTGATTTTTGCACCTCAAGAAGAAGAATTTCCTCCTCCCATACGTCTAATAAATTTGACCTCAAAACCCTATGTGTAAATAATTAGCCCTAAAGATCCAATTAAAATGGCACAAAGGGTGTAATGTACCCTAAGCACACGATGGGTATAGGTTGGTCAAGTGCTAAACGAAATGCCTCACTTAAAATTGAAAATAAAAAAAAGTTTGGCATTGTGTGCGGTCTTTTAAGAATTTCACAAAGATCTACATCCGCCATTCTTAGTTGTGCATCCCTTATGAACGTTATTTCCAACTTCGTCGTTGCATGAAACAACCCTACCCCTTTATTATTATTATTATTATGAATCTTATGGTTTCTCTATCGAGCACCTGATTTGTGGAAAGGTTAAGATCTGTAACTAAATTTTCGCAATTTGGGTTAATACTCATCTTTGTATTATGTTAATGCACAAAATCGGGTTGATCTTGGGCCAACTAAATCCGATCATAAATCACACATACGCACAAAAACACAACGATATATCGTGGTTCACCCCAAGTTTGGGCTACATCCACATTGGTGTAGATTCAATTTCACTATGTAAAATGAAGTTTACATTTTACATGGAGGCTTGTTGCTAAAGAGGTTAGAGTTTGCCATCTCCTAAAATGAGGGTGAAGATTCCTTTATAGAACAAGAGTTTTCCTCTCCTACATACATCATGGGACTAAGGAGTCAGGTCCAAATATTAAAACCCCATCTATGGTACAACATATAACAATTTACAACTCAAATTTTGCTTACTTTATTTTAATAAAATTAATTCATTTAACAGTGCGTATGAATCTTGCTCAACCATGTAACAAATTAATAATTTTGTTTCGCATATAAATTCCGATATATATAATTTATAAGACAATGTTACAAAATATTATAGTTCATCGGCTCTAATTAGATTGTAAGTTTTTTATTTTTATTTTTTATTAGAACAAAGACTAATTTTGAAAAGAGAGCATATGAGCATATGCTACTCATATGCCTTAAAACTGACTCCCAACAATATCATAAAACTTCAAACTTCACTACCGGCTCCGTTTTTGGCACAAAATAATAAACTCACAAACCACCAAAATTTACAACTTTAGTGACCATTCATTCGTCAACAAATACCCCAAAAAACATATTATTATAAAAGGAAATAAATTAGTTAGAAAATCCCAATCCTCCCAACCAACCACGCAAAGCCCCGCAACCAAACACGCCCTTAAGTATGTGAGAGAGAGTAATCTTTCAGTCGATTGGCTTTCACCCCAGCTGGACACGCCTCCTCCCCTTAAATCCTCAGGAGCAGATTTGGATCCTCTATGAGGCAATTGATCGGGATCATCCTGACCGGTGTCTGTGGGTCGTTTTTTATTCAACGGCTACAATTTTTATAATTTTTGGACGATCCCCTGCTTATAGTTGTTGGATAAAAATTCAACGGTCCACAGACACTGATCAGGAGGATCCCGACCAATTACCTTGGAGAGGATCCAAATCCCTCAAGAACCTACCTAACCCATTCTGCTAAGAAAACGACTCCCTCACCTGCCTTACCCTTTGACGACGTCACAAACCAATCAATTCTCTGTTTCCCTTTGAAAAATAAGTCAAATTTCAGGGTAGCTGCCACGCTGGCAGAACGTCTTTCCGCCGGTCACGTAGCTCGCTCCCCCGCGGGTGAGCAGCCATTACCTTTTTAACAGCCGAATTTCTTGCCTGCGGACCGCCACTGGCGGCAAGCAACAGTAAACGCCGTCGTTTTCCCGCTTACTCGTTTTCTATCTCCGTTATCCCGGAGAGTGTGTTTAACGTTCTCTCTAGCAGCGTGAGATCCATCCGATCGTGTGATCGCCTGCGCTCAACCCTACGAAACGCTAAGTGGGTGCACCAATGCCAGTAAGTCGGTCACAAAAGACTCGTACACAATAACCAATAGTTGCCTTCCACGAACAAGATTTATGTGGAACCTGATGTAGGTTATCATTTCCCCTACCTCCTCAACCTTCCCAAAAATCAATGAGGTTCCTGTTCCCCACCCTGTCCCCTCTTTCTCTCTCAGTGTTGCTGAAGCAATTGCTAGGGTTGCCAGTGGGATTTCTTCAGGCCAATTCACACACCAAAACGCAAAAATTCACACGCTGAATTCTGCGTTTTAGTGCATTCGAAAATTCCCTGTATTCCAATTCGCTTCCCAGAAATTTCCCGATTCAATCTGATGAGTAATGACTGTCGCCACCAGTGAATGGCTCGCCTCGGCCTTCCCACCCTCCTCATCGCATTCCTCTCCGCCCTGATAGCCTTAACTGCAAACCCTAGCCACCTCCTCCTCGCTTCCGTAGACGATGAGTTTACGATAACCGATTCCTCCACCTCCGATTCCTATCTCTTCCACCAAGACTACTCGCCGCCGGCTCCGCCACCTCCGCCGCCGCGCCCGCCGTCGGTATCGTGCACCGATGACCTCGGTGGCGTCGGCTCTCTGGACGCCACGTGTCAGATAGTCTCCGATTCGAACCTCACCAGCGACGTGTACATAACAGGGAAGGGCAGCTTTTATATCTTGCCCGGAGTGAGATTCAGCTGCGCGATTCCTGGCTGCGCGATAATTATTAACATTACCGGTAACTTTAGCTTAGGCAGCAACGCGTCGCTTTTGGCTGGGGCTTTCGAGCTCACGGCGCACAATGCCAGCTTTCTCGAGGGCTCGGCGCTGAACACGACGGCGTTGGCGGGAAAGCCGCCGCCTCAGACGAGTGGGACTCCGCAGGGGATAGATGGGGCGGGAGGGGGACATGGAGGGCGGGGGGCGTCTTGTTTGGTGGACAAGAGGAAGCTTCCCGAGGACGTGTGGGGAGGGGATGCGTACTCGTGGTCGTCACTGCAAAGGCCGGCTAGTTTTGGGAGCCGAGGCGGTTCGACCAGTAGGGAGGTAGATTATGGAGGTTTAGGGGGAGGGAGGGTTAGGCTGCAAGTGAGGGAATTTCTGGTGGTGGAGGGGAGGGTTTTGGCTGAAGGAGGTGGCGGAGGGAATAGAGGTGGCGGTGGTTCTGGTGGCAGCATCTTCATTAAGGCTTATAAAATGTAATGTTCATCATCAATTCTCCTATATTTAAATTCGGTATTGGTTTTTTCTGTTAAATGAGCATTTTATGTTTTTATTCATATGTTGATGAGAATTGTAGGAGAGAGTAGATATAAGCTTACTGTGGTTAAGACGAGTTTGAATTTATTTGTTCATATTGAGAATGTTACAGAAATGCAAGGGAACATAAAAGTTATGTACGATATACTTTGATACCTAACATGATTATATCCTTGGTTTGGTTGAGTTTTTAGTTCGTTGAGGCAAGACAAATAGAGTGGAACATTGAAAGAACTGACAGAACATAAATTTTGATAGGTTGGAGTAAAATTTTACAATGCTACATTGTATTCACCCAGATTTTGCTTATAGATGTCCGGGCAGATATATGTGCATGTTTCAGTCACACATTGGTTGTACTTTTGAGTCTTGACATGCATTCTAAAACTCTTGTTTAGTCTACATCCACTTCCTTGTCTTTTGGAATGGAGTTTTTGTGGATAAGTAAAGTGATGGAGAATGATGCTTGATCTTAAATTTTAGTTATATGTTTGAATTTGTGTTTTGATTGTTGTTTTCTACGCCGGTGACAAAAAAATGCTAGAAAAGTAACAACGGGTGTACATGGTTTGTGAATCAAAACATAAGCAATATATATTATTCAGGTGTGATTCTTATGTGTGCACAGGTGCTTGTAAATGTGCCACCATGTTTCATCTAATTGTTCTCATGTCCCAAGTCCATGTGACTGTTGGTATGATTGTGCTTTACATCTGCATCAAAGTTTTATCACTACAGATATTACTATGTGAATCTTATGCTGTGTGACCTATATGCCTTCTAAAGAATTCTGTTGTTATGAAGTGCAGGACTGGTATTGGCAGGATAAGTGCTTGTGGTGGTGATGGTTATGCTGGTGGTGGTGGTGGAAGAGTGTCAGTTGATGTCTATAGCAGGCATGATGACCCCCAAATTTTTGTGCATGGTGAGACACCATGTGTTTTGCCTGACATGGCTAGTTGTATTGTCATTTCTATAGAGGTTTTGGACCAATCTCATGTGCAATTCAATGTTTGAGATTTTCTTGACCTGTTTTTTAGCATTTTATGATATTCTATCAGTAGTTTCTCTTGTATCGTAATATACTGTTCTGATTTCAAAATAAATGTCTTTGAAGAGTATTTTTAGTGTTCATAATTGTTCATTGATCTTGTTAGTTATTTGTCAAAGACAGATTCTGTTCTAGTAACTCAGTTCAATTGGGCTTTTATCCTTAAAATGTTGGGTCATCTATCAGAAGATAAATTATTATTTATTTTTATATTAATTTAAGTTATGTTAATTTAAGTTATGATAATCTTAAAATGTAATTGTATCAGCTTTTATGAAAGCCCTCCTGAAGAAGTTAAAAAAGTTGTTTCGGTGGTGATTAGTTCTTGATGTGGAATGAGGGGATGTGACGTTAATTATCTCATTTTCAGGAGGAAATAGCTATGCTTGTCCAGAAAATGCAGGCGGGGCTGGGACTTTATATGATGCAGTTCCTCGAAGCCTCATTGTTAGCAATCATAACAAGTCAACAGATACAGAAACACTTCTTTTGGAGTTTCCTTATCAGCCTCTTTGGACAAATGTTTATATTCAGAATAAGGCTAGGGCCACTGTCCCATTGCTTTGGAGTCGTGTCCAGGTTT